GGATACGTTGTAGCACCTCGACCTGTTGGTGATGTATAAATCATTTGAATGTGTCCACTAGGCACATCAACGCGCTATTGAAATTTTTCGGTGTCTTCCCTCTTACAATCAAAGAGGGTCAGTAACGGCGAATACGTTTGCGCAGGGCACTTGAGGAGGCACAGGGGTGGGAGGATAGCCAATACCGAATTGCAACTGTGAAGCCTTTTCTCTGAGGCACTCGAGAGTCCATGTCCGAATTGGGACTTCGCTGGCTGACAAAACGGTTCGAGATCTGGCAGCTCTTCTCCTCGAAAAGGTGGATCGCTTTAAAGACAACAAGGAGCAAGCAAAAAGGAAGAGGAAGCTCCACGCGTAGCTGGAGAAAATGGAACAGGATCCTCAAAGTGTCTGCATTTCAAAAAAATCTTTCAACCTCCAATGCTACCGCAGAGGCGTCTAACTCATTGAAGAAAAAGCAAGTGGCCTCGGGGTGAGGATGCGGTAAGCCGACTTCTCCGAAATATAAACATCCGAAGAAAGCGGGTAAGCAACTAACCCAATATTTATCGCCTGAGCAGGCATCGCCCAGCAGTTCCGTTACGGAGCCTACCTGTGTTTAAGTAAAGATATCGGGGTGAACTCGGTGAGTAAAAACGAAATGTTTGTGTTGCGTGGAGTTTTAGTGACGTAATGAACTGCATGGAGAACCCAATACGATCATAAGTAGATCGTTTACGCGATGAACATCTCGTAAGGCGTCGGGTTCCAGCCCGGGTAGTACTTTGCTACAGTGTCCTTGGCCTCATCCAGGGTACCGGACACACAGCGACCATCCGCTACGCGGGTCAAGATGTACGCCACAGGATCTGTCTCGTACTTCTTCTTGGTCTCGTCATAGCTCACCAGCTTGAGCTCCATCTTTTTGCCCAGTTTCTTCTCAGCAAGCGCAGCAATCTCCTTCGGGGACATGCGATCACTCTCAACAGAGAACCGCGACCACTCCAATGAGCATTTAGCCGCTGTCACCAGAACGTGCGCGATAAAACGACACAGGTCCGATCTGGCGACGATACTCATCTTCGCATCGCCATCCCCAACAACAGTCATGGCACCTTCCTTGAAGTTGTACCCAAGGAAGCTAAACAAAAATATAAAGTAAATGATAAGCGAATCGCGGGATGAATAAAGCTTACAATGGAATGTACTCGGCCCACAGCCCACCGTGAAAGAGCGCAAATGGCAATTCTAGCTCTTTCAGCTGTGTGCGAACCTTCTCCTTCGTAATGTTCGGTCCATCTTCGTCAGCCATGCCAAACTAGAAGCTTTCGTGTTAATATCATCTACTCAAGGTCATTTGCAGAAATGATACTTATTTGGTAGGCACAAAGAGCTGGAGCCCAGCAGCCTTTGCCGCTCGAGCAACAGCAAACTGGATCGAGTGATGATACGCATGAATCGTGCACACGCTACAATACAGATAGGCGAAAAGTCAAGCATTTACAGCCAAGTTAGGGGACGAATGATACCCACACAACTTCATTGCCGGTCAGAGCTGCCTTCAACGATGCTTCGTTGTCGTAGTTCACTTTCACGAGAGATACCCCGCGCTCCTTGAATGCTTGGAGCTCAACCTAAACATAGTATTCAGCGGATAGCGTCATGTGCAAACAAATGTGAACAGCTTTACCTTGGTATCATCGCGAGTTAGAATTGTCACGGTAGCTTTGGCCTGGAGTAGATATTCAGCGACGCCAGAGCCGACACCACCAGCACCGACAATTGCGAACTTGGTAAATGTCGACATGCTCGTGGAAGTGAAGTGGAAATGGGTTTGAATAATTTCAAGAAAATTGAAAAATGAGCTTAGTGTTCGGCTACCGGTACATGCACTCAGTTTACAATGGGTTTTAACCACGATGTTGATGATTGCCCAGGTCATAAACTTCTTAGTACCAAGAAACCATGTTGATGTTTGCCATTAATTAACCTTCTCTTACCAAGACGTTTACGTTAGTAAAGGCTTTGATTGGCAATCAATGTTTGCCCAACCCAATCATCAACATCGTGGCTATTCTCTGATTTCTGCTTCAGAAGCCGATTTCGCTTGTATATAACTCAATTCCACCTTCAACACAATGTTGGTCACGACACGCACTCATTCGAGCAACATCCCAGTTGCCGTTGGGTCGTAAAAAAA